CACACACACATACACACACACACACTTGTTTAAGCAGATCACTGATACAAAGCTGGTATGAATACAATCAAATCAAACTAGAGAGAGAGAGAGAGAGAGGAAAAAAAAACTTGTTCTGAATCCCCAAGAAGGCAAACTCATCAAGGAAGCTAAAATTAAACAGATTATCTTGGATACTGTCAAACACAACCAATGCTAGATATGCACTGCCTCATTACGTTAGGTAAATAGAAGATGGTAAAACCAAAGCTGTGGTAAGACATAATGAATATTCAACTCATGCTTTCTTAGATTTTTACTTTATATAATCTGTTTTATTGCTGTCACTTTATTTTTGCTTTCTTCTCTTTTTTAGGGTTAGGAGTGACCTTTCTTTACCAAATCGTCCATCTGGCTCAGGAATCATCATTCTGAACCTACAGCAACTATAACAGCAGCAAAGTACACTGATGTTTGTGAGGCGTTCCTTCATACCCTTCTTGCAAACACTGCTTCTCTACTAAGCCGTCTTAGAGAGAGTAGCCAACATGGCAGTCGGCTCTCAGCTTTGGCCACCTCCGGTCTTGCTGTGCATGGGATTTCTTCTTGCTTGTCTGTCACCAGTGCGCAGCAAAGAATGCCCACGTTTGTGTGTGTGCGAGATCCGCCCCTGGTTTACCCCCCAGTCAACATACAAGGAGGCAACGACAGTGGACTGCAATGACTTGAGACTGACGCACATCCCCACAAACCTGTCAGCAGACACGCAGGTGTTACTGCTGCAAAGCAACGTCATCTCTCGCACCAGTGGAGAGCTGCAGGTCCTGGTGAACCTGACGGAGCTGGATCTGTCCCAGAACAACTTTACCAATGTTGAAGCTGTGGGTCTGAGAAACATGAATCATCTGACCACTCTGCATCTGGAGGAGAACCAGATCAAAGAGTTGCCAGATCACTGCTTGGGAAACCTCTCCAGCCTCCAGGAACTCTACATTAACCACAACCAGATAAGCTCCATCTCCCCCTATGCATTTTCAGGTCTACGCAGTCTGTTGCGGCTCCACCTCAACTCAAACAGGCTCCACGTGATAGACAACCGCTGGTTTGAGGAAACTCCTAACCTTGAGATCCTCATGATTGGGGAAAACCCAGTTATTGGCCTTCTGGATATGAACTTTACGCCACTGGGAAGGCTGAGAAGTCTGGTTCTGGCTGGGATGGACCTCACTGATGTTCCACCAAATGCATTTGTGGGCTTGGACAATTTGGAGAGCATATCATTCTATGACAACAAACTGGTCAGAATCCCCCAATTGGCCCTGCAAAAAGTTCCCAACTTGAAATTCCTGGATTTGAACAAAAATCCGGTTAAAAAAATTCAGGAAGGAGACTTCAGAAACATGCTAAACCTTAAGGAGCTGGGCATCAACAACATGATGGAGTTAGTGTCCATTGATCGCTACGCTTTGGACAACCTGCCAGAACTGACGAAACTAGAGGCTACCAACAACCCAAAGCTTTCTTATATCCACAGATTAGCATTTAGAGACATGCCCTCTTTGGAGAGTCTGATGCTCAACAATAATGCCCTGACTGCCCTTTATCAGCACATTGTGGAGGTGCTGCCAAACCTGCGGGAGGTCAGCATTCACAGCAATCCACTGCGCTGCGACTGTGTGATTCAGTGGATGAGTTCGAACAGGTCCACAGTGCGGTTCATGGAGCCTCTGGCCATGCTCTGCACAACCCCAACAGAACTCAGAGGCCAACAAGTCCGAGAGTTAAGGCTGCTGGACTCCACAGAGCAGTGCCTTCCCCTCATTTCCCATGACACTTTCCCCAGCCACCTGAACCTCGAGCTAGGAATGAGTGTCAGCTTAGACTGTCGGGCTATGGCTGAACCAGAACCTGAAATTTACTGGGTGACCCCTCTTGGTGCCAAAATCACAACCGACACCGTGTCAGAGCGGTACCACCTAAGCAGCGAGGGGACTCTCCGGCTGTCTCACGTGCAGGTGGAAGACTCCGGCCGGTACACCTGCGTGGCACAGAACCCAGAAGGTGCCGACACGTGGGTCTCCACAATCCGCGTAAACGGGACCCTGCTCGACAGCACTCAGGTGATGAAGATCTACGTCAAGCAGACGGAGTCCCATTCAATTCTGGTCTCCTGGAAAGTCAACTCAAACGTCCTGTCCTCCAACCTGAAATGGGCCTCTGCCACCATGAAAATTGACAACCCCCACATCACGTACACAGCCCGCGTGCCCGTAGACGTCCACGAGTACAATCTCACACACCTTCAGCCTGCCACGGAGTATGAGGTATGCCTCACGGTTTCCAACATCCACTTGCAGACACACAAGTCCTGCGTCAATGTCACAACACAGGGCACCACCTTTGCACTGGACCTGTCGGACCAGCACCCGAGCATGGCTGTGCTGGCGGTCATGTCGACGGCCCTGGCCTTCCTCAGCCTTGCCACTGTGGGTGTCTACGTGGCCCGCAGGTGGAAGAGGAAAAACTACCACCACTCGCTGAAGAAGTACATGCTGAAGACCTCTTCCATCCCTCTTAACGAGCTCTACCCTCCACTCATTAACCTGTGGGAGGCTGATGGAGAGAAGGACAAAGACAGCACAGAGGGGAAACCGTCCCCTGTCGACACCACACGCAGTTATTATATGTGGTGAGGGTATTCTTAATGAGGCTCAGCGCCTCTCTAGCAGCACAATAAGACACTCTTTTGCCATTTTGGTGCAAAAGTAAAATAAGGTTGCAAGTGTTTTTTGTATTTTTGGCTTTGCTATTAAGAGGCAGAGTGATCGAGTGAAGGATTTATATTAGTATAGCGTATCGCCTTTGTTTGAATCTATATCACTTTGTTCTTTACTCTCCAAGACGGCAGCTGTATTTAGCCTCCAGGTTGTCTTAGTTGCTCTGCTCTGTTTCCGTGGTGCATTTTGGACTCACATTGTTTTTGAGTTGATCATACAGCAGCAGGGGGTTGAGCTATTTGTAGGAATAAGTTGTTATTTTCTTGTTTTGTAAAACGGTTAATCTGTTGTGCACTGATAGATAAAGAGGTTTGTGAGAACTTCAATTAAAAGCTGACTGCAGGGTTTAGACTCGGTAAACTGTCTAATTGATGTTAGCGGTTGTGCAGTAATGTTGTATCAACTATGAATTTGAACCTTTTGATTTTCCCTGTGACAAAGTAGGACTTTAGTTTGCTAAAAGTGTAACACTAATAATTCTAGAAATAAATGTTTCTTTTGGAATTTTCTCAATAAGGTGCACTAGAATTAATTTTTTTTTACATTATTCTCCATTTACTTATGCTTTAGGCTAGAGTTTTTGTTTACTAATTGCTTAGTTTATCATCCCCACATGTAATATGTAATCTTACTGATAAATAAAGATTTTGGTCTTTTGCAGACGTTTGGGAGTTCTTTGCCAGTTTTCTGTCCCAACCTGATCACCAACACCAAGTTTCCCCATTGTAATGTAGCTTTTGGTTTTATGGAGGATTCTTTATTGCTCTGAAGGAAACTACTTTACTTGCTACACTGATCCATTTTAATAGTCAAAGCTCAAACTATATCAGTTCGGCACATAGATCAGCTACACAGACAGTCAGGGTTCCTATAGTATCTTCGAAAGTGGATAAGTATGGAAAAAAGAAAAGAGGATGGAAAAACCTATCGGAGGGGCTGCCCTGTTGCCTTTCTCACAACATGGCCGGCAGTGGACGAAGCAAGAAGGCCCTGTGTTCGAATCCTTAACAGAACCATTGTGCATGAGTGGGTCCTAACGCCAAAAATATGAGTCGCCCTGGTCACTCTAAGTTACCCTTAGATCCACTGCTGTTGTCAACTTTTTGATATGAAAATTTTGGGTCAGAGTCTAATTTGATCCGCAGACTTTAAATTATTTATGTCAAGAAATATCTTAATCCACTATTTAGCACCGCTTTACAACTTGATTATAATTACAGGTGTGAGATATTACTTTCACGAATATTTGTCACAATGACATGTTCACCAATTACTAAGCGTTTGAGGCTGATGTTTGTCTGAATAAATTTAAATGATAAACCACTCTTTTTAGTCATTCAATAAGTCAAATTAATTAATTACTTTGACTTATTGCAGTGATATATTTAAAACTTTTATTTCAGTTCATTTTGACAACTTACAGCTAATAAAAAAAATAAAAAAATAAAGGTCTTACATAAGACAACAAAAAATTTTAACATTGAAAGACTCAGTTGGTTGAGACAGATTCACACTGAGCCTGGTTCTGATGGAGGGTTTCCTCTCCACATGATAAACTGAAATGAAATGTTACCCAAAGAAACCCGTCCATGTACCATACATTATATGCACCGAACACTTTGTTTATAGTGCCAGCTTTATTTTGGTGTCTCTCAGCTCCTTCTTGACCATATTATATAGATTCAAATGAGTTTTTTTCCCGTCCTCCACGTTAATAACCTTAGTCAGGTATTGGTACTTTTGGATGCCCCACGCTCTGCTGAAAAATTACATTTAAGAATAGCTTCTCTGAGTGAAGTTCTCCAAAATGTCTTGGTTCAGTGAAGCTCTGATGTTGGACTGAGTCTTAATTTAGAAAGTCATGTTTTATGTAGCAGTCCAACTATCTGGGCAACTGATTTCTTTTTTGTTTGCATTAGCTGTAAGCAATAGTCATCAGAATAAAAACAGAAATAAAGAATACACACACATATCGCTGTGTTGTAAGGTATCTGTACATACATTTTATTTAAACTGATTTGCTAAAATAATAAAAAAACAACAACATTGATTTCAATTTAATATCAAGCACCCGCATGTTAAAAATGCTCTAACAATTAGCTGCTCAGTCCAGGAGATTTGGACGGCTGAGTTTGTGGTTGGAACAGCAAATACATCTGTGGAGCTACTGCCCCCTAAAGGTTTATATTTGTAATGCATAAAAAGGGACAATCTTACAAAACCCAAAATCAAGACAAAATGTCATTTTTCTGATGAGAATTTTTATTATGACCTCTTTGCAAACCTTAGAAAGAGACAAAAAAATAAGTTCTTGTACTAATTTTACAGCATATTGCAGCATAACAAAACCAAAGTTGTAGTCTTTGTTGTAAATGGTCCTAAACTTAAAAAACGACGCAGCTATAATAATAAAAAGAAGCTGATATAACAAAGACTACAAATCTCATCTTTTTATATTTTATTATAAAAAGTGAAAAACACTCTCATAGTGTGAAATAGGATATTTACAATAACCGGACATTTCCTACATTTTCTTTTTTGACTCTAAAGTCAGAATAATATGGAAGCAAAAAAAAAAAAAAAAAAAAATTGTACCATCCAGTTCAAATCCTAGTAAACACTTGGGTTACAGACAACAGGGAAGTCTTCATTAAACAAGCAGCTCAGGTTATTGTTTCTCCTGAGAAACACAGCGGAACCCCAGGTTGGAGGCTGAGCTGTCAGGGGTGTTCTGGCTCCGAGCCGCACATCGGTATCTGTAGCAGTAAGACTGACGGAGAGAGAGGAAAGAAGATTACTCTCAGTCAAACTATAATCCTAAAACTGCAGTGGGGATGATTTTAAATTAGGCTTGCTTCTTTGATTTTCTTCTGCACAACTTTTTTTTTTTTTGCACAACTCTAGAGCACAAACTGTTTTCTTTCGCTTATGTCATGCAGAAAACAAGCAGAAATATGTGCTGTGAATTTTTATTACACAACTACAGTCCCATTGCATCCAGTGCTGTCGAATCTAAACATGGATTTCATAACTTTGACAATACATAATTCATCATGTATTTATTGGAAGTTAACGTTCATTTAAATAGCGGCAACATCCTGCTAGGTTGATCATAGATGTGAGGACAATCGTTTGCATAACCATTCATCTAATTTAACATCTGACCTTCTCTCATCTCCGTGAAATAAAGGGTAAACTTTACAAACCTGGTTAGCTTTCAGGATACACTGTTTCAGTAATGTTCAAATACTCTCTGTTTAGCTTTTAGTATTTTTTATATAATTTCACTAAATTTATACATCAATATACTTTAAACTCAAAATGAAAAGGTTGTCTGAATAAGCAGGAGAACAGGTTACACAGCAGCTAGCAGCATCAAACCCTACACACCAGGAAGAAAGACCAAGCTGGATTTCCCCCCCTTTGTTAACAACAAGGAAGAGATAATAGCTGCAAAGCAGGACTGCACAGTATCAAGTCCAAGTCTTCACTGTGCAACTCAGTCAGTAACCAGGCCTGGTGCAGATGCTGAAATTGAATTAATCTTTCCAAAATATGCAGCAAACTGATGAAATTTGCATAAATATCTGTGACATTTAAAAAAAGACAAAAATGTACAATCAGAATAAATCTGGAAGGGCCAGCATTTATAATGTCCAAGTTAAGAAAGTATAAGACAGAACAATAATAATTACATATATAGTTTGCCATCTTTACCTTGTGGCACATGTATGACCCTCCTTTTTTCACCTTGTCTTTGCCTGAAGGGGGACCGGTCTGAAAGACAAGTCAAGGTATTGTTGTCGCTAATGTCTTCCAAAACTGAACTCATGACAGTAAACTAGAGAAAATGCACACTTTTGCTTTTACCGGATTGTGTTGGTGGTCTGTGGTGTGGTGAACGGTCCACCAGTCTGAGGTCCACTCCCAAACATTCCCCACCATATCATGTAGACCGAACGAGTTGGCAGGAAAAGACATAACCTGTAAAATATGGATGTGCAGAAAATATGCGATTTTTGAAAAAAAGGCACAAGTATGGCAAAGTATCTTCTTGTAACTTTTTCCGCACAGGTTTTCTGCAGGTGAGCTAATTTCCCATTTCCTCCTGTCAAAATCTCAGACTAATAAATTAAAATGTAAATCCAGACTATATTTAAGAACAATATTCTGTACATAGCAACAGCTTCTTTGCAGAATTTAGTTATTTTGTTGGTATCGATGCTACTCAACTAATCAGAAAAGAATTAAATGTGCTCCTAAAAGCATGCATGTTTTAACTTCTGTGTTCAAGCTCAAGTAGCTAGGCTTAAGAAACATTGTTCACCACTCCATATTGCCATATTTGGTTATCTTACAATAAATCTCACACGCAGAACTTGCAAGTTGCAATGATGCAACTTTTTCAAGTTCCTCCTTAAACAACCCAGAGCATAAGTTTGCAGATAATTTTTTTTTTCTTTTGAGAAATGAGTGGTCTAATTTTGAAACAATGCCCGAATCAAATTATTGAAGTACAGAGCAAACTTATTCAGAGTTATTTTGGGTATTCGTCCAGCACCAATTAAAAGGTTTATCGATCTAAATTTTATGTAGATATTTGTTTGATATGTCTAACTCACATTTGCCCTTGCCAGACAACTAATCAATAATTGTTCTAATAAGATGAATTTTGAAGGTCTAAGGTATAAGATCTGTCTTCTCCCCTACTAGAGAAGATATAAATCAGTTTTACATCGTAAAGGAATTTGCCTTCGTCCTGAAAACTTTGAGGCGTTGGAGTAAATTTGTAACTGGAGTATATTCCTGAGACAGAGTCTTCTCCTACCTAGTCTGGAATATGAAATATTTGTCACGCCCACGACTACAAAAAAACTTTCCCCTTCACCTCTTGTCCCACTTACAGGAGACGTTTTGACGTATCCGTCCTCTCCGGAGTTGTGCACGGGAAAATCCCCTTGCCACAAGTTGGCGTAATGTTGTCCCTTTGGGTTCAGTTTATTCCCCCATGGGTAAAGTCTGAGAGGAGATAAAGTGCACCAGCAGGTTAATTTCAGACACAGTAATGCATGCGTAACTGTACAGTCAGAACTCACGTCCCACCTGTCTCGCAAGCCCCCCCTGCAGGCGTACTCCCACTCAGCCTCAGTAGGGAGTCTCTTGTTGGCCCAAGAGCAGAAGGCGACGGCGTCAGCCCAAGAGACGTGTACGACTGGATGATCCAGTCTGCAGAAAACAGGTGTGTTTTCCAAGTATATTTTCATTGATTGTTACTCAGACCCCATTAAATGAAAAAAAAAAAAAAAATCATTAAAATAATGTGTTTTCAGATTGAGGGTCTGTGCATTGAAATGTTATTTTATCAGGCACCCAGCAACGTTTTGGCTACCTGTCTGTGATGTTCGAGTCTTGGCCCTCAGGATGATTCCAGTTGGCCCCTTTGACTGGGAGCCACCAGGGGGCAGCAGCCACCTGACAGCAAAGAGATGATAACAGTCGTAACTGGTTAAACATCTTTCATCCATTAGCTCTTTGACTTTTTTTTCTGCTCATGAAATCCTGGCAAAGTATGTCAGGAACTGTCTTTGCAGAGTACAAATGTCTGTACTGGTTTGCAGCGGTGCGCCGCCGGTGTGCCCCCAGTATCGCCTCAGCCTTACGATCAGGCTGCACAGGACGAAGAAGTAAATACGCGACTGTCTGGCTTTTGTCTTCGAGAGCCCCGCTGGACTGAGGCCTCCTACAGCTAACATGTAAACCTTCTGAAATATCTCTCACAGCAGGAACATGGAGTGTGTCCTCCTGCCTACTTAAAGTCATAAAAACTATTACCTGAATGTGGACCAGCAGGAAATTAAACTGTGGATGAGTTACAGTCGGGAAAACACCTTCCAAAGTTAGAACATTGTGAACAAAGCTACGCAACAATGAAAGATGTTTGAAAGACAGGACATTTCATCTGAGGTTCTAGTTTTTCCACTGTCATAAAGGTGCAAACGGTTTCTGGTTTCTAATACAACCTTTATACATTGTCCTTATGAACGAACAGATGTCGATTTAAGATTTTATTTAGCTTTTGGCTTTAAAGTATATTATTCTAGTTCTTCCCTACCTTACATTTTAATTTGTCCTACCCATGGTTTAGTGAATGGGTGATGCTGCAACAGCATGATGCAGATTAAATGATCTCAAACTGAAACACCTGAAGGAATTAAAGAACAAATGAAAAAAAAAGTCACTGACATTTATTGGTCTGGGAAAAATTACACAGCCATTTGTAATGGCTTGAGACCCCAAATGAACCACAGTGAAAGCCATTGTTCACAAATTAAGAAAATATGTAACAGTGATAAACCTTCCCAGGATTGGCTGGTGAGCCAAAACAACTCCAAGACGGCACTGATGACCCACCCAGGAGACCCACCCTGGCTAAGTTCAGTGTTCATGATATAAAAATAAGAAAAAAAAAAAAAAAAACTGAGATAAAATGGCATCTATGAAATAGTTTGATGCCGAGAACTACTGCTGAACATAAGGTCTATTTTACATTTACCAAAAAATATCTAACTGATCTCCAAGACTCCTGGAAAATTATTCAGAGGAATGAGGAGTTCAGAGTGAAACTTGTGGAAGGGGTGCGGTCGTTTTTTATACATGGAGTAAAACCAACACAATGTTTCAATAAAAGAACGCTAGCAAAATGGAAAATGAAAGTTTTGGCTTGTCAAAGCCTGGACTTAAATCTGACTGTGTGGCTCATTTAAAAATAATTCTGCAAAGATGAGCCCAAACTTTTTACAAACTTCAAAAAAAAAAAATTTTTTAAAAACCTCATTACTAGCTATTGTAAATGAAGATAATGCTAATTAGGGTTTCTTTTATCTTACTGTTTTTCCCACGTTATCTTTTTCTTCAAAGATTTTTGTGATGATCTGAAACATTTACATGTGACAAAAAACAAAGAAGCAAAAACATTAGAAATCTGTAAGGGGACAAACATTGTTAATTGGAAGGAGTCGTCTCAGGAAGTTGTGAGCATCTAATATCTATATATCCTATACCCTGCCTTTTTTTCTTTCTATTGATAACACTGAATGAAAAAAGGCTGAGCTCCGGTGCTCTCCCATCCTCATTTCCTTAGTGTAGTGTCCAGCGCACACGACACGAGATCGGCCCATAATTTCAAAACCTGAGAGACACATTAGCCGACAGGAATCCTAGGTACAACAGTTCAATCGGGTTCGATCGTGCCGTGTCCAACAATGGGCACAAAATAATGGCTGCAAGTCCAGTTAACTAATTTTAATATGAGGCATTAATCAATGCTTTACTAGAATCTACCTGTTATGCATAGAGTCAGCGTAAAGTCCTGACTGAATGAAAATCATTATAACCTATTTATGTCACTAGCAGTTGATAAGCTGCAATTTGGCTCCAACTCCTCTCCTTGTCATTTCTATGTTCTTTGCACAAAAT